CATTCTCCAATCAATGGGCATAGACCTTGTTTCCAATTTTTCCCTAATATAATGGGCTGTTACTGTCAATAATAACCTCTAAAAGAAATTCCGAGAAGCACAGAAAGCCGTGCACCAAGCGCCAATGAAGCAAGACTCGGAAAAGCAACACACACAATGACTACAATACATGAGAACGTAAATGGAAAGAACACTAAAAGAAAGCTGAACTCTGAAAAGCCGGAATGAGTAATTTTAGTCATGGAGAACCATAAAGTGGGACCTATTTCCTGCTCTCAGAAGACAGGCGGGAATCTATTTAGAGAGATCATTACCCCTCATTCCTGCCCTGGCTGCATGGCTTTGGGAGCTTTTCTTCCAGGCACCCTCTCCGCCCCAATCCCATTTCTAGCTTCCTGTGGTGCAAGCTCTTCCTCCGTTATATAATTTTTTTCTTATTTATATCCCCAGCACTTAGCACAGTGCCTGGCATATAACAGGTGCTTAACAAATGTTTATCGACTACATACACAGTGAGATGCAGTCACAGTATCAACTGTTTCTGTTTCTTTTTTTTTTTTGGTGAGGCAATTGGGTTTAAGTGACTTGTCTAGGGTCACACTGCTAGTAAATATCAAGTGTCTGGTCTGAGGCCGTATTTGAACTCAGGTCCTCCTGATTCCAGAGCTGGTGCTCTACCCACTGCGCCACCGAGATGCCCCTAACATCAATGGTTTTTGCTTAACTCTTTTTCTTTGTCATAAGAGTTAAATTCTGCAATGAGAGTGGACAGGAAGGTGTTCTCCAGAAATGACACCCGTATCAAAATGAAGAAATTACATGAATCTAGAAAAATCAGTGCATAATGATGATTGTGATACATGATCAAATGCATCAAACTACCACAAACTGTATTTTGTTAACCAAAATATATACCCAGGTCATACCCCTGAAAAGTTTACACATTAAGTAAATAGGAGGCAGTGTGGTAATTTCTGAATCTGCTATGTGTCGTAACACCACTGATTCAGTAACACAAAGCTCTAAGTTAGGGAGGCCACATGTGACCTTGAGGCCCCTGAACTTAAACCAATACCAAATTAGAAGATCAAAGATGAAAACATAACACCATGGAATTACAACAGTTTCAGGCAGACTTTATCTAACAAGCTACCGATATCAAAAAATAGGAAATAAAGAAAACGACAATGACATAAACCAACATGATTTCTTAGAGAAGTTTAACTAATTTCTCTGACAAAAGCTCAGAAACTTCCTTGGCCAACATCTGTAGGTTTGGAATATTTCCTGTCATCTTTATTCTGCAGGAATGATTCTTAATCTGGAATTCATGAATTTGTTTTTTAAAATATTTTTATAAATCTATTCTAATATTTTAAAAAATATTTTTATAAATATATTCTAATATCAAATACTCTAGTATTCCTTTATAATCTAACATACTTTATTTTACACATTTAAAATTTATTCTGAGTAGTCCCGAGGTTTCACTAGACTGCCAAACAGATCTGTGATACACTAAAAAAGTTAAGACCATTGCTCTAAAGGATTGTTGTGAGGATCAACTGACACGAATGTCTGTAAACTGCCTCACTAAACTTAAAGGCTTACAAAAGTATCAGTTTTTATTGTTATTATTCTTTGCTCAGCACAAACACATGGCATCCTAGGACGACAGTAGTGTAGGATAGAAACTTATCTGCAAAACATTTTATGAAAGAGTATGGCAAGTGAAAGATTTTACATAGGAATGCCTTACAAAATATTGGAAAAGTAGTAGTGGGAAAGTGTACAGAATACTTGGAGTGAGACCCAACCAAGCCAGAACATCCCAGGGTTCTTTAAAAATGTAAGAAAAAGTTCACAACATAGCTTACATGTAAATGGGCTTTGCATGACTACACATACACATGTAACTTGTGTCAAATTGCTTGCCTTCTCAATGTGGGGGGAGGGGAGAGAGAGAATTTGGAACTCAAAATTTGAAAACAGGATGTTAAAGTTGTTTTTATATATAATTGAGTAAAAAAATAAAATGTTAAATGTTAACAAGAGAAAGAAAAAAGACAACTGACAAAAGTGTCAGCGTTTCCATAACAAACCATTTAACACCAATTTTCAACATCACCCTGGTCTCCAGGGTGCCATATGAGAAAGTAGAAATGGTATCACAGAAAATAAATGCAGAAAGTCTGGCTAAACCAGGCCAAGCAGAGCCAGAAGAAAACTAAGATGGGGATGGGGGGGGCAGTGGCAGGACTTTGAAAGTGGGACTAAATTTCAGAACCTGAAAGAGAAGATACCAAATAATGGAAAAAAATCACAGACAGACAGCCTAACTCTCCAGACAAGGCAGCTGGGAGGGCAGCAATCACTACCAACCTTTACACCTTTCTTGTTCTAACACAATGTTTTTCTGTTCAGTTTACCCTAACACTTTCCTAAAAAATAAATTTATTTATTTTTAGTTTCCAGCGTTGACTTCGATAAGATTTTGAGTTCCAAATTTTCTCCCCATCTTTCCTCTCCCCCCACCCCAAGATGACGTGTAATTTGATATAGGCTCAACATATACATTCATATTAAAGCCATTTTCATGTTAGTCACATTGTAAAGAAGAATTAGAACCAATGGGAGAAACCACAAGAAAGAAGAAACCAAAAAAAAGAGAGAGAGAGAGAGCGCAAATAATACACTTTGATCTGCATGTAGACTCTATAGTTCTTTCCCTGGATGTGGACAACATTTTCCATCATGAGTCTTTTTTTTTTTTGGAGTTGTCTTAGATCCTTGCATTGCTAAGAAGAGATAAGTCTATCAAAGTCAGTCATTGCCCAATGTGGCTGTTACTGTGCACAATGTTCTCCTGGTTCTGCTCACTTCACTCAGCATCAATTCATATAAGTCTTTCCAGGTTTTTCTGAAGTCTGCCTGCTCATCATTTCTTATAGCACAATAGTATTCCATTACATTCATATACCACAACTTGTTCGGTCATTCTCTAACTGATGGGCATCCCCTCAATTTCCACTTCTTTGCCACCACAGAAAAAGTTGCTATAAATATTTTTGTACATGTAGGTTCATTTCCCATTTGTAACAATATTTTTGAGAATTATCCAATGCCATCTTGAGGGAATTCTTGATGAAAATAGGAAAAAGAATAGGGTTTTCACAAGCCATTTTCTATAGCAGACATCTCCATTCACATAAATGACTGAGAGGTGCAGAGAACACAAGATCCTATTATGTTTACTATTTGTTGATATAAAAAAAAGCACTGGACTCAGTAGGGACAAAACGCAGCCTTAAGGGTTCTCCTCCAACAAGGTGTCTCCAATGCATGTTAAGATTCCTTGATAGATGAAATCAGAGACAACTTATTTTCAACAACATTCTGATTATCTCTATCAAATATGACATAAACCAGGAAAGCAAATGCAAGGGTTTGCAATTGTCATCAAAGATATCCTACATAAAGTCCAAATGGAAGTGGGATTTATTGAGGTCCTCCATTTGTGGGTGACACTGTGCTGGGGCAGTTTACCTCTCCCAGATTCACAACATATTCCTACCCTTCATGTAGGTCCAACCAAACTGGTCTATCAGCCAATGCTCCCACACAATGCTCTTATTTCCAGTGTTCGTACCTCTGCCCAGACTAGTCCCATTTGGAGAATGCATCGCTCCTCATTTCTTTCTCTTAGAACTCCTAGCTTTCTTAGAACACAGGACATCAGAATTGGGAGGGCCCTTAAAATCCAGAATGTGAGAGCTGGGAAGGGCCCTTCTAACACAGAATGTCAGAGCTGGGAGGACCCTTAGAACACACAATGTCAGAGCTGGGAGAACCCTTAGAACACAGGATGTCAGAGCTGGGAGGACCCTTAGAACACAGAGTGTCAGAGCTGGGAGGGCCCTTAGAACACAGAATGTCAGAGCTGGGAGGGCCCTTAAAACACAGGATGTCAGAACTGGGAGGGGCCTTAGAACACAGAGTGTCAGAGCTGGGAGGGGCCTTAGAACACAGAACGTCAATGTTGGGAGGGCCCTTAGAACAGAATTTCATTTAGAACATAATGTCACATGGAACCCAGAATGTCAGAACCATGATGGAACTTAGAACCTAAAAACATCAAGGCTAAGAATCTATGTCAGAACCGAAACAGAACTTAGAACCTAGGGTGTCAGAGGTAGGGGTGAGTGGGGTCCTGGGAACTTCAGAACTGCAAATCCATGTGTTACAACAGAGAGAGCATTGGTTTTGGAGTCAAGGGATCCCGGTTCAAATCCCACCCCTGCCATGCCTCTGTGACCTCGGGCAAGTCACTTCCCTTCTCTGGACCTCAGTTTCCTCAACTGTAAAATGAAGGGCTTGCCTTCCAAGGCCGTTGAGCTTCCTTCCAACTCCAGCTCTAAGTTCATCTCGTCCCTCACTTGGCAGAGGAGCCTGCCCTTCCCAGCCCCACGCGTGACCCCACGCTAATGGGAGTGGAAAAGAGATCACTACAGGTCAGTGACCTCTTACCCCGGGTGACGTGCCTCAGGTCTGGAAAGGGCGGGCAAGAGTGTCCCCGCGGTAACCTCTGACCCACGCTCCTCCAGGTGCCCGGATGGTGACCCCTGACCCTGAGGCTATGAGACTTGGAAGCCAAGCTGTGAACCCCCTGAAAGACCCCTCCAAGCTCAGGGTGGTGCTTTCACCCGACGTACGCACCAGTCAAACTTGCCCACTTGGTCCTCGTATACGGCCGTCGCCGGGGCCAGGAGCGCGGCCAACAACCACAGCCGAGCGGCAAGCGGCGCCACCATGATGAAGAAACCGGCCGTGGGTCCGGACCGCCGCCGGCCCGGCATGCACAGCGCTTCCGGCCTCGCGGGATCATCTCGGGGGAAGGCGCAGGCGCGTGCTCCGGAGCTGGGCGTGGAGGCGGGGCAGCCGAGCACGCTGCTGTGCGAGGGCGCAGAAGCGACGGGAGCCGGGATCAGGCACTCGACATAGGCACCTTGGGCAGTCGGGATCCCAAGAGCCCTCGCGGCTCCGGGGTCCTCGCAGGCTCAGCCGGAAGAGCACACGTGCTGGGAGCAACATGCCTAAGTCCAAGCGGGACAAGAAGGGTGAGTCTTGAGGGCTGGGCTGCGGGGGCTGCCGAGGCAGCCTCGGGGCGTGTTCTAGGGAACCGAGGACCCTCATCCCATCCCCGAGCAGCTCGGGCCCTTTGCAGGTTCCCTAGAAGCGAGGGCCATTGGGGAAATTGAGGCGGGGAGAGGGGCAGGGCCTTCTCCCTCTTAACCGCAATTTTCCTTCCGCCTTTACAGATGAAAACGGGCGGGGGTGGGGAGGTAGGGTCAGCGGGTCAGCACCTTGTCCAGCATCGCTCCACGTTCAGGGTTTCCTCTAAGCTCGGGAGCGCCTTGATGTTGCGCCTGCTGTGTGCCGCGCACTGTGCTAAGCGCTTTACAATTGTCTTTTCTTTGATCTTCGCCACCACCTTGAGAAGTGGGTGCGACGTAATCCTTATTTTACAGATGGGGAAACTGAGGCAGACCTAGGTGAAGCAGTTTGCCTGGGGTCACACAACTAGGTAGTGTCTGAGGCAGGATTTGAACTCGGTCCCATCGTGGAGCTGTCCTTTTCACCACCTGGATGCCTCAGTTCTGTTGATACAGACCTTCCTCCAGGGCTCCTCCCTGATCAAGTGAAATGATGGTTGTAAAGTGCTTTGCAAACCTGCCAGTGCTAGCAATTCTTGCTCTTGGTGCTGTCCTCACAGCACCCCTGGGAAGGGGAGAGGCCAACAAGCATTTATTCATCACTTACTGTGTACCAGGCTGTACTAAGCAGACACCCTGGATTTGGAATCAGAATCTGGGTTCCGATCCCAGCTGGCCCTGGGACCTTTTCCTTCCTGGAGCTCAGTCTCATGTTCTGAAACGTGAAGGAATTGCCTAGGTGATTTTTAAGCCCCATTCTATAATAATTTATGGTAATCCCTCCCACGATGCCCAAGGTTACTTATGCAGCTGGTCAGTGGTAGAGCTGGGGCTTGCCCTCAAGCCTCAGCATTTCCAGACCCAGTTTTTTGGTGCTTCTTTTTGTACTTCTGTCCCGAGGCAGTGTATCTTTAAATACAAATTTCTTCTGAGCAGATCGATGGTTCTGGTGTAGGGAAGGTGGGCAAGTAAAGGGCTAGTCACTGGTCCTTTGGATATTGAAATCTCCATCTTGGGCTGAGTAAAACCGTGTGTCCTTCCCCGAAAGGCTTCTGTCTCCAGTTGTGGGATGGAACAGTTAACCTTCACCTGCTTTGGTCACTCCTATCTGTATTCCACCATCTTGAGCCTACCAAAACTAAGCAGTCATTCTCTTCTCTGTCCCAGTTTCCTTAACGAAGACCGCCAAGAAGGGCTTAGAACTCAAACAAAACCTGATAGAAGAGGTAAGAGGAACATGGTGTTGATGTGGTTTTGGGAGGTTCAGGGACCCCCCAAGGACCAAAGTCCAGGACAGGGTCCTCTTGAATGAACTCAAGCAATCTTCCAGTCAGGTGGCAAAAATTTTATTGTGATGCTAATATGGTGGGCAGAGCTCCTTAAGGAATTCTGCAGCCTAACTGGAATGATGCTAAAGCTTATATAGGAAAAGTAGTCGATTGTGTGCCAGGTATGCTAATTAGGTGATAACATACAACCTTGGTCACAGGTATCTTGTACTACTTTACTGCTGGAAAGGAGGGGGAGGGTTCCTAAGGGGCGTAGGGGTGTGTTTTTGTCTGTTATGTCAGAGACAAGATAGATTTGGGGGTTGATGTCTGTAACTTGACCTCAGAATCTTATGTAAGTTATCTTGATAACTGTGGGAATCTGTACATGATAATTTTGTTGATACAAGATAATGAGATAGTTTATCTCACTGGGCCCACTCCTGAGTTATTGCCAGAGAAAGGGTCTTTGAGCTGGGGAGAAAACTGTCAGGGATAGTGTTTTGAGGCTAGAGAGAAATATGGTCTTGGAACTGAGGTTCGAGCAGCCCATCAATGTCATCATTTTCCATCCCTCCTCTGACAAAAAGCTAAGTGTTTGAGAGAGTCTGGGAAATTAGCCACTTAAACAGTGATAGAATTACAGAGTTGATGATATTAAGCTCTTCTGACAGCTCGGGTAGAAGTGCCAGAGAGGGAGGTTGAAGCCTAAAGAAGCAAGAATTTCATTAGGGTTAGTGGTCTTAACAAGAGAAGTAGTGACCCCTGTTAACGGAAGGACTCTGGCAGAGGTTAGAACGGGGATTTCTGCATGACGTGGGAGGGGCAACTAACAGCTAGGGAAAGGGCCATAAGGGCCTTTTGTGGAAGGCAGCACCTGAGCTGACACTTGAAAGAAGCTAAGGATTCTCAGGTGTGTAGCACAACCCGTGCAGAGTCACGGAGGGGGGAGGTGACAATGTTGTGTTGCAGGAACTGGAATCCACAAGACCTGGAAAATGATTTGATCCAAAGGAGTGGGAGAGAGGGAAGAGTGTAGTAGGACTCAGCTTGTAAACCTAGGAAGCTGAAAGGCTGGTGATACCCTCTGGAGAAATGGGGATTCAGCAAGAAGTCCCAGCCTTAGTTTTTTCCTAAAACACTGACCAATTAAATTCAACGAATATTTGTTATGTACCTGTAGTGTGCACAGCGCTGTGTCACAAGCTGTGGATGCACCCAGCCCCCCAGCCCCCCCCCCATGGACCGTAGTCTAAGAGGGAATAAGACACCAGCACATACAGGCTCAGGGCCTTAGATGTTGTAGGGAAAAAGTAATAGGGGAGGGGCTGAGAGGCCTGACCTCTTGAATTTTCCCACAGCTTCGAAAATGTGTGGACATGTACAAATACCTTTTCATCTTCTCTGTGGCAAACATGAGAAACAGCAAATTGAAGGATATCAGGAGTGCCTGGAAGCACAGCCGGTGAGAAGGGAGCCGGGGCCGGGGCCGGGGCCTGGGGTGGCGTGGCGTGTTACTCTTGCCTTCTGTTCCAAGGATGAGTCCAGTTCCAGGCAGGCTGTCTTCTCATTCAGCATACACTGCAGCTTTTGCTGACCTTGGACATTGCCAGCATATGGGCAGCTGCATCTTGTCTTAAACCTCCAAAGAGTGAAAATCTCTATTGATCAAAAACATTCTATCTCATTTTATACTTTTCCTTCCATTAAACTGACTTTTATTAAATGCTTATTACATGCTGAATACTAGCAATACAAAAGTGGAAAATGGCACATTCCAGGCATCCAAAGAGTTCCTGTGCTAAGTATGATAGAAGGCAGAACATGATGGGGCATGAGAATGATATAGTTGACATTTACAAAACACTTTCTTCATAAGAACCCAATAAATTTTAAAAAAACATTTTTAAATCCCAGTGAATTAAGGAATGCAAGAATCATTTCCCCTACTTTACAGGCATAGGAATGATGCCTAGAAATAAGGAACTTGGCCAAGGTTACATAACTAGTAGGTGGAAGAGCTTACACTTGAATCCTGGTCTCCTGAAATCCATTCTCTTTAGAATAAATTTATTTGTTTTTATGAGTATTTATAATCTGTCTCTCCCACTGCCCCCCTCCCCTTGAACAAATTTTAAACAAATGAGTCATAAAATGAAAAATAAAACTCATCACAAATGTGCTTAGTCAGCAAAACATTCCCACATTGACTACACCCAGAAATGTCTGTCTTTCTTTGTTACGTTCATCTCCTCCCTGGCAGGAGTAATATGTTTCATCCTCAGTCTTCTGGGCTCGTGGTTTATCATTGCTTTGATCAAAGTTCTACAAGAGTTGCTAGAAATATTTCTGTACATACAGGTCCTTGGTCTCTTTTTTTTTCCTTTGGGGAATAGACCAAGTCAGTCAATCCAGGCCCACCATGTGCCAGACGCCGAGCTAAGCACTAGGGCTGCAAAGAAGGGTAAAAGACAGTCCCTGCTCTCAAGAAGCTTCTGGCCTAATGGCCCAGCAATGATGTAATTGTGTCAGAGTGTGTGCTGCACTCAGGAGCTCTTGGGTATTGCACCCAGTCGTGCCAGAGTCGCTGCACCGGTTCACAGTTCCGCTCACAGCAAGTCCGTGTGCCTCTTTCTCTGCAGCCACTCCAGCATGTGTCGTCAGCTTCGTTGGTCATTTTTGCCATCTTAATGGATGGGAGCTGGAACCTCAGAGTGGCTTTAATATTAGCAACAATGTTGTTGTTGATAGTTTGGATTTTTATCCACAAAAACTACCTGTTCGTGTCCTAGTGTTATACTTGAATTGTATACGAGTCTTTTTTACCTTACTTTAAGCAGCAGCAGGATGGAGTAGAGAAAGTGCTGGGCCTGAATTTCAGTCCTGCATCTTACCCTACTAGCTGTGTAACACTGGGTCAGCAACTCTTATCCTCTAAGCCTTGGTTTCCTCATTTGTACAGTGGGAATAGTACTGCCTGTAGTATCTCCCTCCCCAAGTTGTCATGAAGCTCAAATGAGGCAGTATATGTAAAAACTTGACTAAGTTTTTTTTTTTTAATTTCTACTTAATTGTGAGCTCTTGCAAGCAGATTCTGTTTGGAGGCGTACCCTTGTATCCTCAGCCCTGAACATGAGCAGCTGCTACACAGAGAAGTCACTTAAGAAATGTCTCTGAATTGAATTGAAGGCTCAGTGCCGTTGTAGGCCGATTCCTTAGGACTCGGAAGGTCTGTGGAGTCCAGTCTAGGGGCATCAGGCAGGCACCTCAGCATGATGATGGCGATTTCCATTCTGTAGTGACCCAAGGCTTACGGACCACTTTCCTCACAGCCTGCCCACCTCCCCCAAGAATGAGCAGATCAAGGCCTGGTCTCATTTTAAAACTGGAAGTGGAGGTTGGAGGGACCTGTCCACAGGCATCCAATGAGGAAATGTCAGAACCTACGCCTCCTGGTCCTGGTTTCTGGTACTTGAATCTCTGATCTTCAGGCCACAGGGTACCTACCATCTTGCATAATTTCCCTAGAAAGTAAAAAGAAGGCCCAGAAGAAGAGAGGTGCCTCCCTGATGATCCCATTGTCTTTCTCTTCAGGATTTTCTTTGGCAAGAACAAAGTTATGATGGTGGCTTTGGGCCGAGGTCCCACTGACGAATATAAAGACAACTTGCACCAGGTGAGCCCCTTTTCCCTGTCCTTCAAAGAGGGGAGATCCCATTCTCCTGATCTCAGCAAATCTTCCTTTAGCCAGTTCCATGCACCTCTGCTGAGAAAGTCTGTTTGACTGGGACATCGAGAGTCCTGGGGGCTTTTGGAGCCTGGGGCCACGCATCTGGAAGGCCCAGCTTCTGCCCGCCCCCTGCAGTGGTCACCTCACTTCTCCCCCCTTTTTTTCAACCACTTAATTCTCGACCAAAGCCTTTCATCTCTCTTCCCTTGGAAGGGACACAGAATAAAAAGAGGACCAGTTGGGAATGTAGGGTGCCCATCCTAGTCCTGTCTTGTTTGACGCATTATGGTCCCTCCTTTGGCAGTGTCTCTGGCGAGGGCCACGGACCCCATCCGTCTAAGAAGGAGGTTTTTAAATCTACAGAATAAGAACATGGGATTACAAAGGAAACTAATGCTGTTGAAATACAGTGACCAAAATCTGGTTGGTTTATTTTTTTTAAAGCAAGTTCAGATGCCAGATTAGAGCATCTGATTCCATAGAAAGTGATGTCACTGCAGTTTTTGCTGGTGGATTAGGTTTTGCTAACTTGGAGACTGCGGAGAACCTTCTCCCCCACAGTAAAGAAGGCCACACCTGGGCAGGACCATGGAAAGCACTTTCATGTCCTTGATCCTCCCTGTCTGGCCTGCATCTATCAGGCTTGGCATTTCCCTTCCTTGCATCTTTCAGTTCTGGACCACCCCCAATTTAATCTTTTTCTCCTCAGCCCAGTCTTTAAATTAAATTGGTCAGCTGTGTTCTCGCTAGCTTTGTTGGGAGAATGTGGCCATGGGACCTTCTTACATATCTGCCCAAGAGCTAATGATCCTTTTATGTATGAAAGTAACCAAAATGCCCTGGCTAATCCACCAAAAAAAAAAAAAGGAATAAGTTGTCAGTAGGGAGATAATGGGATGCGATTCTAGGGGCTCAGGGTGCAGAACGCCCCAGAGCTACTCAGCAGTGACATTGCTTTAGTAGTCCTTTACCAGTGCCTTGCTAATGATGATAATACCCCTGCCTACAGGGCTAGGTAGTGATTTCCTTGTCCCCAGTAAAGTTCAAGCAATGACTGGAAAAATTTCAGGAGTGATATGGAGGGGATTTCTGAACCAAGGTAAAAGGAGTAGGTGCGCTTCTTCCAGCTCCGCTGGGAACTTTCATTGTGACTCAAGATTTTTGTTCCCCAAAGGTCAGCAAGAAGCTGAGGGGTGAGGTCGGTCTCTTGTTCACCAACAGAACAAAGAAGGAAGTGAATGAGTAAGTGTTTTAAGACTGGGAAAGGAGCCAGAGGTAGGAAGGATTTGTGATTGAGGAGAAAGGCAGACACAGCACCTGGAGGACTGCATCTTGGGGGGATCGGTTCACGTCTCTGGCCAGAAGGCAGCTGGCTCACAGCCGGGTCCCAGAGACCTGGTGGTGCTGGGGGGCTTTCCAGGCTTGCCAGCCTTGTTCATGTTTAGTAAATGCTGCTGGGTGCAGGGCCAGGTGTTAGAGAGGCAGGAGACCCCCACCTTCCAGTAGAACCCCCAAGGCAGAGTTTTGTTCTGATAAATCTGGGGTCGGAAAGACCGAGCTGAAAAATCATGATGTCACAGGGTGGTGCCAGCCCAGGCTTCTTCACCCAAACTGAGCAGAAAGAATGGTCCTAATGGTCCTAAATGGTCCTAAGCCATGGGTCATGGCAGGCAGTGTCTGTCACCTGATCACAGGCCTCAGGAAGGGGACATAGGCCCATTTGGACTTGCAGCCAGGAATAGCAATTACAATGGCAGCTAATATTTATATAACACTTAATACCTGCTAGGCACTTTGTACTTGTTATGTCACTTAATTCTCCCAACAACCCTAGGAGGTGGGTGCTGTTTTTCCCGTTTTACAGATGAGGAGACTGAGGCAAATGGGTACAGTGACTTGCCTGGGATCACACAGCTAGTAAGTGTCTGAGATCAGATTTGAACTCGGGGCTTCCTGACTCCTAAGTCCCTCACTGCATGCACTGAGCCACCCAGCTGCCTCAGAGGTCACGGGCTACTCTGCAGCTGCCTCAGAGGTCACGGGCTACTCAGCAGCTGCCTCAGAGGTCACGGGCTACTCTGCAGCCTAATTTACTCATTTTTGAAGCAGCCGGTGTTTGTGAGAAGGTCATGAGGTCATAGATCTGGACTGAGAAGGGACCTCAAAGTCTTCCTGCTCCAACCCTGTCATTTTACAGATGGGGAAACTGAGACCCAGGAGGGTAATGACTTGCCCAAGGTCACACATATCCTGCGTGTCAGAAGTGGAGTTTGAACCTAGATCCAGTACTCTGTACTGTCTCGGATCCCACCTCTGACTGTGCCAGTCTGACTTTTGACAAGTCATTTAATCTTTCCCTTAGGGCCTCAGTTTCCTTATCTGTAAGATGAGCGGGTTAGATAAGTGACTGCCGCAGTCTCTTTGAGCTCCAGGTCCATGAACATGTAATACGAAGACAAACAAATGACCCAGCCCCTGCCCTCCATGAGCTTAGGTCAAGGGGTTGTGGAGCAGGTGTACAGGGTAGGGCCTGGCTCAGATGAGCCCCCATTGGGGCCAGTGACTCCTCTCTCACTTCCTTCTGCCCCAGGTGGTTCAGTAAGTATGCAGAAATGGATTATGCCCGGGCTGGTAACAAAGCGACCTTCACCGTCAGCCTGGATGCGGGGCCCTTGGAGCAGTTCCCCCATTCCATGGAGCCTCAGCTGAGGCAGCTCGGTCTGCCCACTGCCCTCAAGAAAGGTAAAGGACACGTGGGCTGTGTGGGTGTTGGAAACTTGGCCTGAACCTCCCTCTCGTCTTTTCAGACGTGGCACACTGTGGGTGTGGAAGCTCACATACGCTGTCAGACATGGCTGATGGGTTGGGTGATTTTGTCAAATGCCTTTTTCCCCTCTGTCTTTTCTGTTCTGTGTCATAAGGGGTGGCCTGGCAGGGAAGAAAGGGGGAAGGATTAGGAAATGACAATAAAATGAAAACAAATATCAGAAAAAAGGAAGAGATTAGCTCCATCACCCCTGAAGGAAGTTGGTGTTTGCCCCCACTGGCAGGCATCTCGCTTTTTCTGGGACAGTGACCCAGAGAGCCCACTTCACCAGGATCTTTTCTGCAGGTGTGGTGACCCTCATCTCTGACTACCAAGTGTGTAAAGAGGGCGATGTGCTGACCCCTGAGCAGGCTCGAGTCCTGGTGAGTAATGGGGAGGGCTAGTGAGCAGAAGGAAAGACTGAGCCCAAGCCTCTTCCCCTCTCCCCTACCCCCCACCCCCCTTTCCACCGCCCCGACCCCTCTGCTTTGTCTCTTCAGAAGCTGTTTGGGTTCGAGATGGCAGAATTCAAGGTTAACATCAAGTACCTGTGGCAGGCTGAGTCAGGGAAGTTTGAACATCTGGGGGAGGACGCCAAGGAGGACGATGACGATGACAGCAGCTCCTCAAAGAAATCAGAAGACATGGAGGATGACGACTGAGCGAGGACAGCGCGGCCCAGGGTGCAGGACTTCACCCTGTGCAGCCTCTCTGAACAGCTGCCTTCCTTCTCTAAAGGAAGAGTGACTGACCTTGCAGGACTCAGGAGGGAGAGAGGTGCAGGGCACACATGACTGTATTTTTATATAGAATAAAGCCTTGTCCATGGAGTGGGTGCACCTCGGCTCTCCCTAGGGGCAAAGAGAGGACTGTGGCTCCTTGCTGTGAGCGCTGGCAGGGCCTGGCCTTCTGCCTAAACCCTTCAAGCCCTGGAGGCTCAAAAGGAATGGAGGTGACTGTCCTGGTGCTTCTCTTAGCCCCACTTGCTTCCCGCTGCTCCAGACATCTGTGATAGAAAGTGCCAAAACTGGGATTTTGGAAGCTGCAGCCCCTGGTACCACTGCAGTGAAGTGGTCAGCCGTAGGGAGGACAAAGGGGCCGGGGCGGCTAGGACCCTGAGAGGAGGGGCCCAGTGCTCTCAGTTGGGTTCCTTCACATGCAAGTACGTTACAGTGTCCACAGTGCAAGATATCCCGTATTGGTCTGTGTGTGAGGTGGAGACGATAAGACCCATGCTTGAAACATCAGGGCTTAGCTCTAGGCCCCAAGGGAGACAGGCATGGCTTCTCAACTTTATTACCCCCCACAATGCTAACTCACATTTATATAGCACTTTTTGGAGGTTTGCAAAATATCCTCAAGACATCCCTCTGAGATAGGCGTGATGAGTGTTATCTCTGTTTTAGAGATGAGGAAACTGACTCAAACCCAGGTCTCAATTCCAAAATCCAGTGCTCATCCCACTGTGCCATGCTCTTTCTCACAATTCCAGAGGCATAGAATGTGGCACCTGCTTGGTGCCAGTGATGACCGGCACCAGACGACCCGCTGGGGGTGCAGGGCCATTCACAACAGCCTCTAGGCTCAGAATGTTGCCACCTCGAGGCCACATGTGGCCCTCAAGGTCTCAAGGAAAGGATTGCATTGGAGGACCACATATGGCCTCGAGGCCACAGGTTCCCCACCCCTGGGCTAGGGGGTCTTGCCTGTTTCTGCCGCGGCCCCTATGGGCAGCATCTGGTGAAGCCCACGACTCTTTCTCAGAGTGTGTTTGAATGTTTAAAATTCCAGCCTCGCAAAGGAAACCAATCATATTGAAATACAATTATCTAAATATTTTCAAACAGATTAGGCACCCCCAGGCTAGGTTTCCTTTCTTTTTCCCAACTAAAACCCCTCCGTCCTCTGTCCTCCTTAAAGCCTTTCCTCAGTTCTCTCCCCATTTCTCCTGACCGTGTCTTGTTTCTCCATAGTTGTTTGTACATTGTCTCTCTGAGGGCAGGTCTTTTGCCTTTCTCTCTGTCCCCACAGTCCTCAGCACATAGTGAATGCTTGTTGGCTGCCTGACTTGACAAACGGGGCCCAAATTGGAAAAGGACTTAGCCCAGACTTCCAGCTGGGAGGACCTGAGGGCCCGTGCCCAAAAGGAAGCCTGTGAACCCTAAGCAAGTGCTCATACACCCCCACATTTGGGTGGTGGAAGTGTGATCTCTTCAGTGAGATCTGAGTTAGGAGAGCTGGCTTCCTGATCCCAGGTCTTACCGTCGTCATCTCGGAGACGTGCTGAGCCTCATTTTCCTATGCAGTAGAACAGAAATGCGTAATCTTCTCACAAGGACAGTGGTAATAAGAGAAGTCCTCACCAAGCCGGTGTTTGCACTCGTGGCTACAAGTAACTAATTGGAAACAGCACTAATCCTGAGATGGAGTGAATTTCATTCAACATTTGTGAAGCACCTACTATGTTCCAGGCATTGTTCCAAGTGCTGGGGATACAGAAAGAGGCAAAAGACAGATCAGAGAGCTCGTGGGGGAAATCCCATGAGATAAGCCCCATTTTTATTCACGGGTGCCAGGATGAGGCTCTCCCGGGCCGGTTAGAGGAAAGCTGATGCTGTTGGTGTGTTTTCCACCAGATGCTAGCTGGGCTAACTCCTGGGGCTTGACTCAGGACCCAAAACCATCCCTCTGGGCAGGTGGAGAGTTCTGGCACTTAAAAGAATGTGGGTGTAAAATCATTAAAAAGCTTTTCATGGTGCAGACAGCCTCAGAGGTGTTCTGTTCAAGGAATGATTACTGCATTCTAATGGCACTGAGGTTTGCAACGTGTCTTATCTCAGTCACAACTAAAAAGAGTCGTCGTTCGTTGTCCAAGAGGACCTTGACATCAGGGAGGTGATGCCATGACATGGATTTAAGTGAGGGAAGGCTGAGCAGTCACCAGGCTCACTTTGTCCTCTGGAGCCATCTGGGTCCAGTGGCCAGATGTGGATCAGGATGACTGGAGATGGCCCAGGATGCAGTGGGAGACCTTGGCCACCTTAAGCTAAGGTGTTTCCCAGGTCTCAGTTTGTCTGAGGCAATACCCATTCGGTGATTAAGGCCAAGTAACAGTACAGAGTACTGGATCTAGAGGCATAGGGTATGTGTGACCTTGGGCAAGTCATTAACTTCCTGGGCCTCAGTTTCGTCATCTGTAAAATGATAGGGTTGGACTAGAAAAACTCATTTCCCTCCCAGGTCTAGATCCATGATGTCATGACCTTACACACACTAGCTAATTCATAAATGAGTAAATTAGGCTGCTGACGTGTTGTTTCTGTTGTCTGAGGCAGCTGGGTGGCTCAGGGAATACAGTGAGGGACTTACGAGTTAGGAAGCCCCGAGTTCAAATGTGATCTAGACATTTAGTAGCTGTGTGATTGATCCCAGGCACATGACTTCACCTGTTGGCCTCAGTCTCCTCATCTAGAAAGTGGAAGTAGAATTAAATGACGTAATTACAAAGTGCTTAGCACAGTTACAGAAACGTTAGCTGCTGCTATTATTATTCCTGGCTGCTGGTCCACATGAGCCTGTCCCCCCTTCAGAGTGACAGATACTGCCCCCCCTGGTACTTAGGACCATTCTTCCTGCTTAATTTAGGTGTCTGGCAAACTCCCTCTTCCACGTAAGGCAAGAGTGACAGCCCAGGACTGAACTGTTAGTGGCTAGAGCTTATTTTGAACTCTAGTCTTTCCAAATGCGTCCAGAGCTCGCCCCTCCCTCACACATACCTTACTAGCTTACAGGGTTCTATGAGTATCCTTCATGTTTTTCAGATGAGCAAAGGGGAACTTCATAACATTTCTGTGGTCATGGGATAGATTTAAGAGTCAGGATTTGAACCCACATCTCAGACACTTCCCAATCCATTCAAAAGACCCATGTTTGCTTCAGTATGATTTTATCACACGTTGACGTTGCCCACACCTCTATGAAACTCCCTTTCTCCTTATTTGGGGAGAACGTTCCCAAGCCCCCAATTTTGAAAAGGGAAGTAGCATCAGCTCTCCCTGGCAAAGAGGAGGTGGTGGTACGTGCTGGACAACTGAGTGGTTGGCCCCGCAGGACACAGATGTGGGACACAGTGGCCCCGGCCAGAGGGCAGAAGACTTCAGGGAAGCCAGGAAGGCTGCCTCAGCATCAGACTGCGCAGCCAGGGCTGAAGGGATTAGCCTGGTTCTGCCTGGTGTCAGAGGTCGGGCTGGGGGCAGGCTTAGTTAGGTTCAGTGGCTGGTAAAACTCTTAGAATCTCACGGAGCCAAAGCAGACTAGGTCTGGTGTACTACACAGAGGAGCCCTGTTCAGACATGGACTGGCTTATCTGGTCCAAGGCCCTCCTCACCATACTTGGAGGCCTCCATTCCTTGTCCAGCACGCACCAGCAGCCTGCTCTTCAGGAAGGAGCCAGGATCTGCCGCTGACTTGCCTCTTCCCACCAAGGACCCAACCAACCCCAGGCCCCAGAAGAGCCCTGCTCATAATTCACTCTAGACCACTCTCCTGTGCAACATTTGCTTTTATTCCAACAGGACAGGACAGAGCTGGTCTTGGCCCTCACCCTTCTCAACAGTAGGAGCAGCAGGGCAGGGGGCCAGAGGTCTTACGTCCAGGAAGGAGGCTAGAAAACCATGGATTCAGAGAACAGGGACAATTTGAAAGACAGAGCTCAGGCTACAGCAGGTTAAGACAAAGGCTGGCTGATGGGGCTGACAGCATGGGGACAGCCAGCATCAGTGAGGGGGCCTCTCTCCACCACCATGGCTGGAGCTAGCGGAAGTAGTTGGGACATTCGTGGGCAACGAGGTTCCAGGCTTCGTCAAAGGCCTTCACCACCCCAGGCTCCAGAGGGCCCTCCTCTGCTGCTGCCATGTTCTGCTGCAGCTGCTCCAGGCTGGACATGCCCAGGATAACGGCGTCTCCACGGGCACCCTGTCAGGAGAGGAGAGACAGAACCAGGTATGTGTGTAGGTCATATGAGAGGGGTATGGGGTTGAGGTGGAGGGGTAAATGTTTAACATCCACCTCTCAGGGAGGGGTGATGTTCAGGATTGTGGTGATAAATGTTTGACAACTAGCTGTCCAGAGGAGGACATGTGCCTAACAACACACTTTTAAATTTAATCTACTTCATTAACATTTTCTCCATTGATTCCTTAAGTCTACGCAGTAAAATAATAAATCAAGCCTGCTGGGGGCAGGGCTCAGTGATAGAGAGGCAGAAGACAAAATATAGCGTTTGCTAACTTCTGAGTTACAAATGCTCACACTCAAAAAATTTTTTTCTGATAATTTTAATTTGCATTTCTTTAATCAATAATGACTTTGGACATTTTTTCATATGATTATAGACAGCTTTGATTACTTTGTCCGAAAACTGCCTGTTCATATGCCTTGACCATGTCAACTGAGGAATGGCTCTTATAAACTTGACTCAGTTCTCTATTTGTGAAATGAGGTCTTTGTATCAGAATTGCTATAAAAATTTCTTCACAGTTATGACTACCAGCTGTCACACTCAAAATTTAGCGATGGTGACATGAGCTAGCTCCAGGGGGATCCCCTGGATCTCCCACTATGATTCCATGAGGGCGGGAAATGTCTCTTACTTCTTTTTGTAGGTGCCCCAATAGAGAAGAGTATGAGACTTGGGGTCAGGGAGATCTGCATTCCAATTCTGTCTTAGACACTTATTAGCTATGGGACCCTGGACAAGTCATTTAACCTCTGCCTCAGTTTCCTCACCTGTAAAATGGGAATAGTAATAATGCCTACCTCACAGAGTTACTGAGGATCAAATGAGGTAACAGGTGTAAAGAGCTTTGGAAATCATGTGTTTGTCAGACTCTTTGTGACTCCATTTGGGGTTTTCTTGACAAACGTACTGGAGAGGTTTGCCACTTCCTTCTCCAGCTCATTTTACAGATGAGGAAACTGAGGCAAACAGGGCTGAGTGATTTGCCCAGGGTCACAAAGCTAGTAAGTGAATAAGGCCAAATTTGAACTCAGGAAGAGGAGTCCCTGACTCCTGGCCCAGTAATCTATCCACTGTGCCACTTGGCTCTCCCAAAAAAGGTACCAGAGTGGTTTGCCATTTCCTTCCTTCTCCAATGTATTACAGCAAACAGAGGTCAAGCAACTTGCCCGGGGTCACACAGCTAATAACTATCTGAGGCTGGATTTGAACTCAGGTCTAGGCCCAGTGCTCTATCCACTGTGCCACCCAGCTGCCTAAACTCCAGTTCTTTGGATCTCTCTCACCACATCTCTTTAGCATCATTAGGCTCCCGTAGGTGCTCCACCATAGGCCAGTTTAGGAAGCCTCCTGATGGCAGGCCACCATTGGGGGAGTACTAGCAGGCTGGGTGTATGACCAAACATGGCTCCTGGATAAGCTCTCCTAACTCTCGGTCATCCTTCCCATAACACGCCGAGAAGCACTCTACGTCCAACCAAACTGAAGGAAGGATTATTCCCCAACCCAGCTTTGCCCATGCAGGCAGGCCCTCTGTCTCTCACAACAGCCCTGGGGTGGGGACCATTACCCCCAAATTTCAGAGAAGGGAACTAAGGCCCATTGAGGTTATGCAACTTGTCCATGGCCATACAGTAAGTAACCCCACGAGGCTGGATTCTAACTCGGATCTTCCTGACACAGAAGTCAGGAAGTTGTCCATCCCATCTGACAAGACAAGAGGATGGAATGGGCTGCTGTGGTAAGGACCTATGAAGGTGAATGGGATGATGCCAATGGAGGGATCCAGAGCCCTGATAATACGAGAAACACCCTGATCACTGCAGCCACTCAGCTCAGGCTGCACAGGAAGTACAGTGGTGGTACCCAGACTGGGAGCTCCTCCAGGGCAGAAGCCCTCTTCTGCCTTTCTATGTATCCCCGGCACTCAGCACAGTGCCTGGCATACGGAAGGTGCCTGATAAATCCTTAATGACTGATGCACAGTACCAGCTTTTGGCACCTGGCCTTACATAACACAAATAAACACCCTGTTGGTCAATATACATTTAATATTGTTGTTGATGTTATTGTTAATCTCTTGGCTTGGTTTGCCTAAAAAGTTTTCAGGAAACATCCTTTTCCTATAATTCATTTATGATGTGTTTGTTAGCTATGTTAAAATTAGTATTTATCAGTGAGATAAAAGCCAAAGGGCTCAAGACCCCTGGGGATAGGTGGGTTCCTGGGGCCCCTGGGGCATTACCTGGAGCTGGGAGTGATGGTACATCCACCTGAGGGCTGCTGAGGTCATGCTGGGAGGGTTGGCCCCATAACATGCCGCCAGGGCTTTCTCCACAAGACTGATGGCTTGAAAGTGATGTTCCTTCCAGAAGCTGTGTTGAATGGGCAGAGAGGGAAGTTCAGTGGTCAGTGCCCCCAGGCTGGCCTCGGCAGGGCCTGTGTGGGGGCTCAGCTTGGCAGAGAACCCAGGCTCCCAATCACAGGAGCCCTGACAGAGTTAGGCAGCCCAGGCCAAGTTACAGTCCTGGCTCCACCAGCCGCTACTTGCTGGGCGACCACAGGTACTGTCTACTGCAAACCTCCAAGTGGGGCTGCACCTCCCCAGTGAGGATCCCCAAGCACCCAAAGTGACCTTTGTTTATGCTCAGCTACCACCCCATGAACAATTCATAAGCGCGGGACGGAGGCCTTGGGCACACGTTATCCAAGCCCTTCATTCCCCTGGGGTCATGTGTTCCCATAATCACCCATCTCATCCCATGTGACACCCAAGAGGGCCCATTTTAGGACTGGCTGCCACATTCTGGGAAGGACACTGAGAGAGTCCAGAGGAAGGTGAGGTCCCTCCAGGACATGGCAGACATTCAAAGAAGGGTTAAGGGAACTGGGGGGCATGGTCTAAACTTGGGGGCAGTTGGGAGGGCAGAAGGGCACCTGTCATACATGTGAGGGCCTGTCCTGTGGATGGTTCCAAATAGGTCAATTTTGTCTCAGTGTCAGGAAACCCTTCCTCATAATGAGAGGGGCCCAAAAAGGGAAGGGGCTGCCTGGGCTTCTGTGAATACAGGCCAGAGATCCACTTGTCAGGAATGGTTTCAAGGGGGCTCTTGTTCAGGTCTGGGTTGGACCAGATGACCCTGAAGGTGCTTTACCTCTTTTAATTACATCCTGTTTATCCTACACATAGCTTATTTTACATGCATTTGTTTGCCTGTAGTCTCCCTCATTAGACTATAAGCTCCTTGAAGGCAGGGACTGTCTTCTGTCTTTCTTTGTATCCCCAGCATTTAATAAATGTTTACCGAACTGAAGGTCCCTTCAAACCTAAGACGTGGGATGGATTCCCAGAGAGGCGGGCCAGGGGCTGTACCCATTTTTACAGACAGGAAAGTCCGGAGTTTCAGAGATGTCAGGTTTCCTTAAAACATTCTCCCGTCTGACCTGCTTCCCCACTGGGGAGCGGAGCTCACCGATTCCTGTAGGTCTCAGACCAGCTATTCCCAAAGAACCGGCCCTCGGGCTGTTTTTTGTCCTTGTCTTCATACCTGTACTTGCCAGTCAGGAGGCCACCTAAGGGAGACAGGACAGTCTGGTCTCAGGGATTCTGCCGAGAGCTGAGCCCTGAGAGCTCAGCCAGAAGTCAGGGCTCTGAAGGGGGGGAATGTACATTTCAACTTGGCCCCAAGCAAAGAGGAACGGAGCCATGCCCCTTGTCCACTCCCCTCGGCACCCCTGGATCTGGCCTGCATCCCGCTCCCAAGCTGGACCCACAAGATAACCAAACTCAGATTCCTGGAGCACTCTGACGTAGCTTTCACAAAATAACTCCTGGAGATTGTCAGTACAAAGTATTTTCTCTATCCGGACAGAGACGTTGCAATTTGCCCATGGACACACAGCTAGCAAGTATCAAAGGCCACATTTGAACCCAGATCTCTTGACTTCATGTCTTCATTCTACTATCCCACCCCACACACTCTGGGGTCCCCTCCCCCTCTTCCCTCCTACCAGCCAAAGGGTTGTATGCGTAGAACCGCAGTCCATAATGACGCAGGCAGGGGAACAGCTCCATCTCCACTTGCCTGGTGGTGGCATTGTACATGCCCTGTAAGGGAGGGAGGACAGCACAGATGAGGAGGCTCAGGGAAGGGAGAACTCCCCAAACCAGCCCGGGTCAGGAGAGGTCACAAGCTAGGCACGATGGCCGGAGGTCCAGTCCAACTCATTCACTTTACAGATGAGGAAACTGAGGCCCAGAGGAAAGAAGTCATTAGGTAGGAAGTGGCAGAGTCAGGATTTGAACCCAGGTCTTCTGTTTCCAAAGCCAGCACTCTTTCTGCCCCAAAGCACTAGGGGCAGAGCCCAAGATTCGAGTCCCAACCGCGTCATTTACTAGCAGTATCACATGGGGGCAGTCCCTCCCTCCTTTGACCTCGAGGGTAGAAAGGTTCCCTGCCCATGGGGCCGTGTGAACCTAATGACCAAGAAGGGCCCGCAGGATGTCCAGCAGCATCCCGGGCTCAGACAGGTGCTCACCTGGTACACCGTGGGGAGGACCCAGCCATTGTTCTTGCAGAGGGTGCAGATTTCAGCTACTTCCCAGGAGGAGTAGTTAGAGAGGCCCAGCTCTACAAACTTACCCTGCACGGAAGAAAGAGAAGGAGGGAGGGAAGAAAAGGGGAACAGAGGTGGGTAGAGGGGGAGTGGGAGAGAACCACTGGGTCAGGGCTGGGCCCCTGCTCTAAGGAGTCGTCCTGTTTTTTTTGTTGGGCTGTTTTTGTTTTTGGTTTGTTTTTTTTTTGGTGAGGCGATCCAGTTTAAGTGCCTTGCCCAGGGGCACACAGCTAGTAAGTGTTAAGTGTCTGAGGCTGGATGTGAACTCAGGTCCTCCTGACTCCAAGGCCAGAGCTCTATTCACTGTGCCACCTAGCTGCCCCTGTCCTTCTATTTTTATCTGAACTTGCCTTCCCTATTAGAAGGTAATTAGAATATCTTTGTGAGTAAGAACTGTTTCATTCATCTCCAGCTCCAGCATAGTGCCTGGCATATAGTAGGTGGTTAATAAATAATCTTGAATGATTGAATGATGCTCTAAGGCCTCTCCAGCTCTGACATCCTGTGTTCTAAGGGCCCTCCCAGTTCTGACATCTGGGTTCTAAGGGCCCTGCCAGCTCTGACATCCCCTGTTCTAAGGGCCCTGCTAGCTCTGACATCCCCTGTTCTAAGGCCCCTCCCAGCTCTGATATCTGCTCTCACCTCCTGGTGCAGCTCATTGCAGGCCTGTAGCGTCTCCTCCACAGGCGTGTCGTGATCTGGTGCATGCAGGTAGAAGAGATCCACTTGGGTGCACTGCAGCCGCTGCAGGGAGGTCTCCAGCTGGGAACGGACACTCTCAGCCCTCAGAGACTTCCCATCCCAGGGATTGGCCTTGGTGGCAATTTTCGCTGAAGGAAAAGAAGGTGGTAGGAGGTGGCTGAGATTCAACAGAGGGGAGCCCTGGCATTAAACATGAAATATTAGCTAAATGATAAGGCAAAAGCCAGAATGATAGCATTTACTTATTAGAAGGCAAGGACAGGAATAAATATTTACTCAGTACAAGGCTGAAGTGGGAATAATTATAACATTTATTCAATTATAATATTCAGTTATTAAAAATTACAATAATTACACAATTAAAACATTTAATTATTAAATAATTATAACATTTACTCAGTAGAACACAAAAGCACAGATAATCAAAATATAACCATCTATGCACAAACTCTCTCCCTCCACAGCACACACTATCAGGGATAGTGGAACCTAGTAGGGAGGCACATGGGTTTCTCTACTCAAATTGGAAGTAGCTCAAGACACTGACCAGCAGGCCTTAATGTCCTTGATCTCTTTAGAGAACAGTCAGCACCCTACGGAACTGCTTCTCTACACTCTGCTGGCTTTCTGGTCCTCTCAGCGCTTTTCTGTTCTTCCTCAGGCTGCTGATGTAGGATCCAGCTCTCTTAGACACTCCATCTCTCGGCTCCAGGCATTTTCTCTGCCTATCTCCCCGATGCCTGGAATGCTCTCCCTGTTGTTCCCCTCCATTAGATCGTGAGCTCCTTAAGGGCAGGGATTGACGGTTGCCTCTTTTTGTATCTGTGGCTTAGTACAATAGTAGGCACGTAGGTAAATGTTTACTGATTGACTGATTTTAAGATACAGACACTCTTGGCAGGGTGCTGAGAGAGTGTTAAGCTTTTTATTTTGATAACAGTAGTTAGCTTAGTCCAGAGAAATGTCAAGCTCCTTAGATTTTCTCAGAGGCTTTGAGGAGTTTTTCCCTCCCAAGCTATAGATAGCAATAAGGCTGTGTAACTTTTCCTAGCCAATTCTTCAGATAGCAGGGGATTCCCATTTTTTCTCAAAGTCATGCTTCTTCTCCATTTGTCATGATTAACTGCAAAGCAGACACAAAGCTTGTCTTTTCCCCTCAGTTTCTCCCTTTCAGACCAGAGGGCAGTAAAAGGCAACCCAGGTAAGCTTCTGTATCTCAAGTTCAGCCCTGATCTAAGAATTGTAAATTGGAAGGGGGTTTAATTTTTATTATGTACTTTTCACAGCTGACCCCACTCAACTGCTTAGGATGGAAGAATTTACTGATTTCCTTTACTGAATATCACCCTCTTCCCCCTCCCTGCTCTACCCCAAGCCAGGAATTCCATTGCTTCTACTAGTGAACTTTGCTTCTGGGTACAATTTGGGGAATCTGACCAGTGGGGGTGCAGGGAGGGAGGGAGGGGTTTAAAGGGCAATGAAAGAAGAAAGAAAATCTGATCACAGGTTGAGATGTTAGAGGCCATTCAGTTCAAAACTACTACTTTCAAAACCCTGGACTGAGCGTCAGAAGATCCAGGTTCCAACCCTACCTAGGACATTCACTAGCTGTGTGACCTGAAAAGGTCATTTAATCCTCCTGAGCTTCAGTTTCTTATCTGTAAAATGAGGGGGTTGGACCAGATGACCACTAAGGTCCATTTCATCTCTAAATCAATGATCTTATCTATGCCCAGACAGGTGAACTGAGATAGAAAGTGACAGAGCTGGTATTTAAGCCTACATTTCCCAAATCCCAAACCAGCACTCATTCTACAATTAGAGGAAGCTACATGGCAAAGCGGATAGCTAAAATGCTGGACCTGGATGTGGGAAAACCAGAGTTCAAATTCTGATGCTTTATTGTGATACCCTGGGCAAAAGTCACTTTACTTGACCAGTTTCTACCTTTGAAAATAAGGATGATTATGGCTCCAACCTCCCAGGGCTGTTGGGGGGCTCATATAAGATGACATGTGGATAGCACTGCAAAGCTTAAAGCACTATATAGATGTTAGTTATTATTAATCCAAGAGGAAAAAATCAAATTTAAAATAGTGACGAAGGAACTATGTGATAGAACAAACCCTTGGCTGCAAGTGAAGAGACCTAGGTTCCGGCCCCATCTATAGTATATTCACTCTGTGACCTCAGACCCATTCTCTGGGCCTCAGTTTTCTTCTCTTTATAATACAGGGCTAGGTGAAATCATCAGCCCATAATGTTCTCTGACAGTTTATTTCATGAGGTCCCTCCCAGCCCGGTAGCAGTCTGGGTTCTCAGGTTCCTTTCAGCTCTGATACTTTAAAAATTTGAGAAGGCAGCAGCTCAGGGAAGCTACTTACTGGAGGGACAGTTTGGGATGAGAGTGGAAGGGTCAATGTGAAGGGGATACATGGATCCTCTGCTGAAAGGTCTGGCCCTCCACCACAGACACTTCAAAACCTATACAGGGCAGGAAGACCCAATCTGAGTCTCTTTCCCTTCCCCAAGGGAGCCCCTAAGCAATCACAAACATGGGACAGAAGACTAGGAACAGTTACCCACCTTAGTGGACAAGAAGAGCCTTGGCCTCCATCTAGCTCCCATTCCCCCGCCCCCCAAACATACATACACCCAGGAACCTCAACTGATGAAGGGGAGGGGGTAATGAGGACAAGCTTTGGAGCAAGGGGTGCTCAGTAAAGTAGCTGATGCCTCACTGCTATTGGGATCCTATCAATGCTTGGATCAGTCTATGAAGGTTCCTAGAGTTAGAGACAGGACACTTCCTAGAGTACAAGGGTCTAACAAACCATCAGATCTGCTGACTGTCACGGGGGCAGAGGTTTCACTAGGAGAGCAGAGGAGGAGTGGGGGCAGGGGTGACTGGGGCTGCACAGTTCAAGGACAGGGCTACACTGGGTGTGAATAGAATTTGCCAGATCAATGGTCCAAGGATGCATGCCCTGGATTGCAACATTTGGAGGTCAGAGTTCATTGCCTCTGGGTAGGGCTGCATGGTGATGGATAGGACCGTGGAGTTTAGTGACCCACACCTCAGGTTAAGGGTTCCATGCCCTAAATTGCAACACCTGGAGGTCGGGGTTCATTGCCTCTGTGCAGGGTTGCACGTGGATGGATGGATGGGATTGGAGAGATTAGTGACCCACACCTCAGATTAAGGGTTCCATGACCCAAATTGCAACATTTGGAGGTCGGGGTTCATTGCCTCTGGGTAGGGCTGCACGTGGATGGATGGATGGGATTGGAGAGATTAGGGACCCACAGCTCAAATCAAGGGTTCCAGGGCGCATGCCCCAGATCTCACCCTTGCGGGGTAGGCAGGTGGCAGGCTGGGAGGGCTGGGGTCCGACCGGCTTACCTCTGCTGCCGCCGTCCCCCAGCCCTAGGCCCATGCTGCCCACGATACTCTCGGACTGGCCGTCGCTGTACATGAAGGCCGTGTCCAGCTCGCGGTGGCCACGCTCCAGGAAGGCGTGCACGGCGGCGGCGCTGGCTGACCCGTCCATGCGCCGGCCCATCTCCATCGTGCCCAGCACGGAGGCCGGCAGGGTCCGGGCCGCCGAGGAGGCGGCGCGGGCGGCGTGGGACATCGCGGCGGCAGCGGCGGCAGCACTAGGGCTGCGGGCACCGGCGGTTCCTCGGCCGGACCTGCAGCGGGTGGCAGCGCGAGCCACGACGCGACACGCGGCGCTCAGCATCTGGGGGGAGGGGACGCTGCGGCCTGCGTGCCGAAGCCCCGCCCCTTCCGTGACGTCACCAGCAGTCTCGGGTAAGGAGGGGCGAGAGCAGAGCGGGTCGCTCTCAGGGACCGTCTGCAAAGTGCGCTGCGCCGCCGGGGGAGGTGGAAGCCTTGCATCCTCCCGGACCAGGTTTGGGTGCTCTTTGGGTCCGCGCGGTCCCGGCGGAAGGCGGTGGGACTGGCCGGTGCGTACCGTTCCGCTCCCACCCCGGACCCTTCTCCGGTATCCCGGCATCTGGAACTGGAAGCAACTTGAAGGGAGCCTCTAGTCCAAACCACTCTCTTTTTTCAGATGAGGAAACTGAGGCTCAGGGACAAAAAGGGATTTGCCCAGAGTCGCCCTGAGCTAGGATTCCAGCCTAGGACTCGTTTATCCCGGCCCCACCCTGGAGTTCCAGCCCCCTGAGCAGGGAGAGCCAAGGAAGGACTGAAGCTTCCAGGCAAGGTTATCATTTATCCCCCTGGAAGGGACCCAGTAATCTGGCAGGGGTGGGAGGGCAGTCCTGGGGACCCAGGAGTCCTGAGCCTCGTGTCCAGTCACCCCCATTCTGCCCCTCCCTTCCATCACCCAAACAGGGAATTAATGAGCGTGCTTATAACAATCAGTGGAGGAAGGGATGCAATACATCATATTGCTGCGGTCTGAGAGGTTGAGAACCCTCAAAGACCGAAGTACCAGGCGGGGTCATCTGGAATAAATTCATAGACTCAAGCATTCTTTAAGTCAAATTGGCAAAAAGTGTATTGTTATGCTATATCAGTGGGCAAGGATTCTTAAGGAACTGCAACCTTAGAGCGGTACAGTTAAAGTTTATATAGAATAAAATGTAATAAAACATGTGCCAAATATCTAACTAGGTGATTCAGGGCGGGATTAGGGAGTGGTTAAGGAGTGGTCAGTTCTTAAAGGACCATGCACTTTTTGTATCTACTGCACAGGCATTTTTCCCAGAGTTCACTAGAAAAAGCCCACAAGGCGGGGACGCGTGGAGGTGTGATTTTAGGCCTGCTGCGGTCAGGGGTGACTGAGAGTTGTCCAGTCTGCCACCAGTCAATGTCTTGTTTGACAAGACAGATGTAGGGAATATACATATGTTTTAGGTCTAGAATACAGATAATGAGGAGTCCAGGATGTAGATAATGACATAGGGCGGTAGTATAGATAGTTCAGTGGGTAAGAATGTCTTTAAGGCCCAGTGCAAAGCCAGTTGAAACTAATAATTCCTTCAGGTGCTGTTTGTAACTGCACCAGGGAGAGAGATAAGGGTCTTGCTGGGGCCCACTCATGAGTACTTGCTAGGCACAGTGTCCTTGCTGGGGAGAAACTGTCAGGGATAGTGTTTCTGAGGCTAGGGAGAAATATGGTCATGGAATTGAGGTACCAGTACAACCACCCAAGCACCCCATCAGAATCAATCAAAAATCCAAAAAACCGTGCCATAAAATCTTTCAAAAATATTATGAACTTGACAAACATCAACACACATAATCATATCTACATAAAAATAGAAAAAGAGAAGTACATGTGAAACCACAAATTTCAATTCCGTAAGGCTTATTTTTTAAATAAAGAATAAATTTAACAGGGTAATTCCAATCCTGTTCTGTTTATTTGTATCTCAGTTTCCATCTGCTTTCTTCTCTGTATACTGTAAATGTTTCATTATTTAGGGGAACCACCATTATTCCCTTCTCCTTCACTCATAACTTTTTCTCTCCCCCCCAAAAAACCTAAACAACATTCTCTCTGAACTCTCCCACCCCAACAAATAAATATAGTCAAGAAGATTGAAAAAAAAAAGGTCTGTGCATTGGACTTGTCAGAAAATGTATGCCTCCTACACCTCTGAAGTCCATCACTTCTCTATCAGAAGGTAGGAAGCATTCTCTATCAGAGCACTAGAATGGTGGCTGGTCATTAACTTGGTCAGAGTTCTGAAGTCTTTCAAAGTTGTTTTCTTTTACCATGTTATCTTTGTATAAATTATTTTCCTGGTTCTGCATGCTTCAGTTTGCATCAGTTCATGGATACAAATTCCCAGATTTCTCTGAATCTAACCCTTTCTTTTTTCCTGTAGGACACAATAATACTCTATTCCATTCATATACAATATTATGTTTGGCCATTCCCTTTATTAAAACAAAGCGTTCCATTGTAAACATTTTTCTTTATATGAGTCTTTTCCTTTGGTCTTTGATCATTTTGGGGTACAAGGTATTCATAGTTAAGTAGCTTTTGGGGTATAATTCCAAACTGCTTTCCAGAATAGTTGAAGCAATTCCCACCTCCAGTAATAATATATTTATAATATATAATACTATAATAATATATTCCTACAGCCCCTCCAACAATTGTCCTTTTTTCTCTCAATCTGGTGGATGTGAGGGGAAAACTTCACAGTTGATTTAGTTTGCATTTCTCTTATTATTAGGGATTTGGAGCATTTTTTACATGGTATTTGATAGCTTGAATTTGTTTTTCAATCTGCCTGTTCATTTCATTTGACCATGATCTGCCAGGGAATCTAGGTGGCAAAGTAGATAGAGTGCTGGGCCTGGAGTCAGGAAGCCACTTCTTCCTAAATTAAGATCTGGCCTCAAACATGTACTAGCTGTGTGACTCTGGGCAAGTCACTTAACCCTGTTTGCCTCCGTTTCCTCATCTGAAAAATGAGCTGGAGAACTCTAGTATCTCTGCCAAGAAAATACCAAATGGGGTCATGAAGAGTTGGACATGACTGAAAAATGACTGAACACCAGGAAATGGCTCTATTTCTTATAGATTTGAATTATAACAAAAATGACTAGCATTTATAGAGAACTTTAATATTTGTAAGGCAGTCTACCAATTAATCAGAGTATGTTGTGCTAGGCACCCTGTGACCTGATTGCATCAACCCACTTGCTTAGTTGCCTGCCTCAGCTCTCCAAACATCTTGGATATCACACCTTAATCACTGAAGTTTGCAACAAAGATGTCCTTCAACTAACTCTTTCCCTTCTGATTTTTTAACATGGTATTTTTTTTTATTTTGCTAAACATTTTCCAATTACATTTTAAATGTCTTTTAAATTTTCAGTCACCAATTCTCTCCCTCCCTCCACCCTCTCCTGTACCTGTTGAGAAGGCAAGAAATATAATATCCATTATTCATATAAAGCCATGCAAAACATATTCTGGCTTTAGCCATGTTATAAGAAAAAAAAAGCAAGAAAAATAAAGTGAAAAAATATGTTTCAATCTACACTCAGTTCTCTCTCTGGAGATGAATAGTGTTTTTGCTCATGAATCCTTTTTAATTGTCTTAGATCATTATATTGATCAGAATAGCTACTTCTTTCATGGTTGATCATTGTTTCAATATTGCTGTTACTGCCTGTATACAACATCCTCCTGGTTCTGTTCACTTTGCTTTGCATCAGTTCATGTAAATCTTCCCAGGTTTTTCTGTTCATCAATTCTTGTAGCACAATAATATTACATCATATTCATATACCACAACTTGTTCAGCCATCCCCCAATTGATGGGCATCCCCTCAATTTCCAATTCTTTGCCACCACAAAAAGAGCTGCTATAAATATTTTTGTACATACCAGTCCTCTTTCTTTTTCTTTGTTCTCTTCGTGATACAGACCTAGTGGCAGTATTGTTGAGTCAAAGGGTGTGCACAGTTTTATAGTCCTTTGGACATAGTTCCAAATTGTTTTCCAGAATGGTTGGACCAGTTCCCAACTCCACCAAAGTGCATTAGTGTACCTATTTTGCCACAGCCCCTCCGACATCTGTCATTTTCCTTTTCTGTCGTGTTAGCCAATCCGATAGGTATGAGGTGGTACCTCAGAATTGTTTTAATTTGCATTTCTCTAATTTTTAGTGATTTAGAGAATTTTGTTTTCATATGTTTATTGATAGCTTTGATTCTTCTTTTGAAAACTGCCTATTTATATCCTTTGGCCATTTGCCAATTGGAGAATGACTCATAATCTTCTCAGTTTAGCTCAGTTTTCTTATATTTGAGAAATGAGATTTTTATCAGCAAAACTTTCTGTAATTTTTCTCCCAGTTTTGTGCTTTCCTTTTAATTTTGGTTTCCTTGATTTTGTTTATGGAAAAACTTTTTAATTTAATATAATCAAAATTCACTTTTTTATGTCCTGTGAGTCTCTCCACAGTTTGGTCAAGAACTCTTTCCTTATCCATGGTTGTATGAAAAGAATCTCCTTCTTTGTTTCTCTAATTTGTTTGTGGTATGATACAATATCTGTTGTGTTGTTACAGCTTGTGTATCAAAGAACCATTTCTACATAGCATTGGTCCCATCAAGTTGCCATCTAAATGAGGCTTGACTGAAGGGTGATTCTTTATTTCAGTTACCATTGGACCTAAAGGTCTTTCCTTGACTCTCAGGACAGCAGTGGTAGACTGGCTCTAAAACCTGGCATAGACTCCAGCTTGTAGACTCCAGATTCCTGGAGCCTTGGTCTGCTGACCTTTCCATACCCACAAGGTCAGAGCCTCTAGATTCATCTCCTTCACCTAAAACAGAATAAACACTGAGACAAAGCACCAAGGTCCATTTTCATGGGGACAGATGTTGGCCTTGGAGGGAAGGACCCAGAGCCTTTCCTCTTAGAACTTTGTCTCTTACCAGTCACTGTCTGTGAAGGAATCATAGTATGAGCAGAGGACCACCAAAAAGGAATGGCTGAAGCCAATTCAGGCCTTTTGAAGAACATTTTGATAGTGCTTTGAAATTTGCCAAGTACTTTACCTAAATATTATATCCTTTGGTCCGTCCAACAACTCCAACAATATTATTATGTTGTAATAGTGTAATATTATTAATACCATTTTACAGATGAGGAAACTGATACTCAGAGAATTTAGGTGACATGCTTAGTTAGGGTCACACAGCTCCTAAGTGTCTGAGGCAGAAATGCTGCAAAATACCTTACAC